CTTTCTTCTTATATGTTTTTATATATATATATGGGTATGGGTGTGTGTGAAGAATTCACATTTTATTATAAATAATAATATGCATAAATTAAGAAATCAGGCTGATGAACTAGCTTTTGATATGTCAACCCAGGGCCTATCACCCCTGGTTATTTGATAGATGAATCTCTTATGCATGCTTAGTGCAAAATTAAACTCGCTAGATATTTGTTGCTATCGGAAGACCTCTTTCTAGCGAAATCATTCATCGTAGCGAGTTATAGAGATGAGCGACATAAAAAGGAGCAAAGGTGTGCTGTCAAATTTAGCTTTGAACTTTGCAAAACAACAGGCATACGGAGTCAGTAGTTTCTCTAAGGTGCCTTAAAGAATTTTTAAAAGGCAAAAGTATCGCATGGAAGAGGGACATCACAAAACCCGATGTAAATGCTGACAGAATTCGGGATCATGAGCTTTCAGTCGAACTTCTATCACACTACAGCTCATCAAATTGTGAATTTGAACAACGGCAAAGGATCATGCATAAGATACCAAATATAAAGAAGAGCAAAGCTTTCTGTTACTTAGCAATGGTTTTAAATGTGCTTTTAGCCAATAAACATATTCCCGTGTGCAATTAATTAACCTCTTTGATTTTTTGGCTTGTTTTTGTAACAGTCAAATTGCGAAATAAGATACAAAATGACTTAACTACTTTTAACAATAAAATAACTTTCCTTTCAATGAATACCGATTTTCGCATACCTTGTTGCTATCTGAAAAATATGATATAAAAATAAAGACAACAAACCATTTTAAACGTTTATAAATATTTATTTTCTGTGTTGGGTTTATTAAGCAAATGATTACATAAGATGATTCAGTAACCAAAATCTAAACTTCAAAAATATCGTTTAAATACTTCCAGAAAAATTAACTAGAAATGCGATTTTTTTCCAGAAAATTTTTAACGTTGTGACAAATACTCTAAGGTTATGAAAAAAATTTGTTTTGCAATTTAGATTTAGCGGAATGCAACATTTTGATACTAAAAATAATACATATTAAAATTAGTCCACCGCGAGCAAGAAGATTTATAAGAACATAAAAAGCGCGATAACTTTCCTGTGATAATTTTAACCTTTTCTCTGGCAGATAGAATTCGAAAATCACTATGTTGTTTAGTTGTATCACTGATCAATATGTCTTATGTTTTCATATTAATTTATCGTATTAGCAACAACAATTTATCTTATTAATGACAATTTAATTTTAGACGACACTTCAGGCATACAGGATGCAAGTGAGTAATATATAATTTTTGTAAGTGCTCTAATAATCTATTCCAAAATGTTCCTCTTTTGTTACACATGAGGTTATTATGGAAAATTCGCGTTTTCTAGGGTTGATTAACTTCCAGAGATAGTAAAAGAATGATAATTGTTTCAAAACTTCTTAAATGAATGCTGACAAAAACTTTTGAATTACAGCTGATTCAAAAACTTTTGAATCAGCGGTCATTTCTGTGATAACTTACACTTGTTGATCTGCAAATATTGCTAGTTTATGGTGTGTTTTTTTCTGTCTGCGATGTACTTTAAATCTTATCTTAAGAGCACATTTGCGATATTATTATCGATAATATTTCTTATATCATGAATGTATTTTATTTCAAATTAAGAAATTTCATGGCTTTTTGTCTCTTTTGAATATTGCATTTGAGGGTGGAAACTTACTGATATGTTTTTTAGATAAGTGATGATCAATAGTGACGACAGTTATCATGACGGTGAACGCAAATTGTTGTGTACAATGCTTGTTCTGACGTAACTATGCAAGTGGAAGAGAAATAATCAAATAGATTATCCTAAGTCAATCATGAAACGCCAGAAAACTTATACATATAATGAATAATGTTTTACTAAGTTGTTTTTCAGTGTTTCAGCAAATTGGACCCTTAAAAAAAGCTTGCATTAGACTTTGTACAAGCCAGAAAAAGGGTATTTTGTTTGCATCCAAGTTTTGCATGAACAAACGAAGTCAAATTTTTGAAAAAATATATACCACATCCATACAAAACTTCTAATAATTTTCTAGGTGCTGACTTGAAAATTGAACTTTAAACAATAGAATTTATAGCATTTAAAGAATTAGAAAGATTCCTTCATAACTTTTATTTCGATTTTTTTTCTTTCCATCTAAAAAAATAAAACGGGACATTAGTAATTTTTAGATGAATTTTTAAACTTTTGTGTCTACTTCGTTATTAAGGTTTGCTATTTGCTAGAATAAAATTTTAGTTCATTTTAGAGAGATAAATTACCGTTCCCAAAATTTCTGAACTCAAGTTAGTGATTTTGTTTCAAAGAAACAATTTTTGTAAAAATTTCGGTACTAATTAGAATAACGTTTTTATTATTTCATTTAAAAGATTTTGAAATATATATCGTAAAATATTCAGAGCTTTACATTGCAATTTAAACTCCAAAACTAAGTATCTCGAAATGGAATATTAGAATACAAATGGAATGGAACAGAGATTCGCTATGCAATTATGATGTATCACTGATTTACATAAATTACTATAATTATTTAGATTTAATTTATGTTTAAATATTTTATTTTCAGCTAGCTCAGGGAGTATGCCCGATATCGGTGAGTAAATTTTATTGCTTGCATGGGATGTGGTGAGACACGAGAACTTATTTAACTCAAAAATATAATCCTAATTCTAAAAATTTTTATGCCATAATTCATATTATAAAATGCTAGATAGAGTTTTTGAAGGAAAAATTTATGTTGACAAACACTTTAGAAATGAAACCTTTATGTTAAAAGTTTAAATTTGGAATATGAAGTATATAATTAATTAATTATTAGCGTATCCTTATATTTATATGATCTAGTGGAAAGCGTTTTGTGCAAAGGTAAATTAATTTTGATCTCATAAGAATTATATACCGAATGCCTCCGTATAATAAACCTTAATTTATATCCTTTGAATCCTTTTTTAAAAAAGACCAAAGTATACTTATTGGGAGTCGAAAGTTAAAAATTTTGTTCAGAAAAATTGAAAACGGTTTAAAAATCTTATGAATCATTACGCCAAATAAAATGAGATGTCAAAACCAGCTTGATTGCATGCCCATGATTAAGGTTTAAGTTGCTTCGTTTATTTACTTATTTACTTGGTTTCTTTCGGTTACTATACATGTTAGGATTTTTTTTAACCCCGATTTCATGAAGAGATTCCTTTAGAAGTTGATGCTTTCTTCTTATATGTTTTTCTAGCTCCTTTTAATAATAAGTGTTGTCAGTTTTTTGATTTAAGCACATCACCAAGCAAAAAATATTGATTCTTGTGGACCACCGACCAAATTTTTAAGAAGGGGAAAGTTCCCCAACTAAATAAAGCTTGGTGTCAATGAATCATTCTGAAACAAAACTTGTTTTATGGAATAAAATCTACTCACCAATTTTTAAAAACTGATAGAGTTAAAAACTTATTGACGGTGGCACGTTTTCGAAAGAACAAACGGTATATTTTCTTGAAAATGATTAATTAACAAGATCACCGAGAATGAGAACGAAGTGTAAATGGATGATGACTGATAAAAATATTTACTAAATAATAACAATAAAAGATGCCAGATTCATTGATTTTGATTTTTCAACCTCAAATTAGTGGAAACAATCAGTCTAAGCAAAAATCCTCGTTTTTTTTAAAGTTCTTTCTCGGTCCTTCAGTTTGAGGATAGCTACCCAAGCACGAATATTTCTTTGATTTCTTCTTTTTTTTTTTTTTTAACAAGAAGTAGGTAGAACAAAAAAAGAAGTTTGTAATGACAAAAAAGTATACTAAATAATTATAACTATAGTAGTAACATTTATTCATTGTTGTTTCTAAATTTTAAATCATTGGAAAGGTTCTACCTAAATGAAAATCCTAGTTACATAATAATTGTTTCTTGGCCTACGTTTTGGGAATTGCTACTCTATTGTATCCTTTGCCTTTTCTTTGAGAAGGATCCGAACAAGGTTCGCTACAGATTATATGGCATATTTAAAAAAAAGTTGGCTTTCATTTGTTTGCTTTTGACAGTGTGAGTAAAATTATAAGTTTATAGCATACATAAACTCCAAATCCCGCAGTGAAATTTTTTCTAAAATGATCTGTTAACCATGCTACAGTAGAACATGCTTTTGAACATCAATATTAATTTCTAAGTGTTAATATTTAGTTTATTATTTTTTCATCAGGGTCGAAAATTTTAGATTCAAGTAACTTTTTTTGCAAATTGAATTCACAAGACCTCATAAATCATAAACCTATAATAACTAGGAAAATTTTCAAACCCGTTCTCTGTAACGAAATATTATCGGAGTAAAATTGCCAGATATATAACTAGCTAAAAATTATATGCCTTATCACAAAAATATTAATCACTGAACATACATTATTATCAAATTTGCTCTTATTTATCGCGTCCTTAAACGTTTTTCATTTATATTGCATTGTTATGTAATTGATTTAAGGATAATTTTTAGTTTAAATATCATAATAAAAATTAAGTATCATTTTTAAATAAAAGTTAAACAATAATGATTTTTTTCGTTTTTCTTTAACTTGTTTTCTAATTATCTAATTTAGATTATTCTCGGGAACACAAATGTATCGATTTTTAAAAAAATGTGTTAAGTGTGGTTGTGGTTAAATGTGACGCCAAATGTGGTTCACCATCATCCCTTTCACAAAATATTTCTTTACTCTGGAATGAAATACTGTCTGCTTTCATAAATGCTAACTTGTAAATTTAAAATTTTAGTTATATTTTACAAAATATTATAAAATATAACTGATTAATAGAAAATATTAAGAAAACAATTTTAATTCATTTTTCAAAAATTCTATTCATGCCTTAATGTTAAGAGCTCAATTTATTTAATTTTTAATTTTTTTCTTTATTTAGTCATTGCAGCGGCAACATATGGTGAGTATTTTTGAATATTTAAAATATTTAAGCACTTTATTTGCTTTTCTTCTGTGTTTGGGTTACAGCACAACACAGAATTTTTGCCAATGTCGTCATTCAACTAAAATATTTGTAATTATAATAGTAGAAATACAAAAGAATAAATAGCCCGTTAATGCAGCTCTAATTCACAGTTAACAACCAAATCAACGAGTCGAAAAAGTGTTTTGTGTTATCACCTTTAAATTCTTCTGATGAAAACACAATTGCCTAATGTTGTCATTCCCTGGGAAGGATAGCT